GGGTCGGAGGTGCGACTGGTGCGTAGGCACCCCAACCCCTCCCCCGAAATTACCGAAGGTCCACATTTTCTGGGGAATAAAATTCAAGACACTCTAACATGTTCTAGAAATCCATCCACCAAAACTCCTTCACCAATCAGAGCAGTTTCCAACTAGGACTGTCTCTAATTTGTCGTACAATTAAGTATTTTTTAACTGTAGTTTTCATCTTTTTGAGAAATTTGAGTCAATGAGTGTCATTTCCGATTATCTAGATGTGCCATCTTCATAAATGTTCTTACCTCAACCCCAACCGTGGCAGACCTCCAGTGGCGGATTCTACATTTTTGAAAATTATAAAGAAATCTTGAAAAAAAAAACAAAAAAAAACAGTAGGCCTAATATTATCAAATTTAAATCCTCTGAGAGTGCCATTTTCGGTCATCAGAGGTGCCATAATCATAAAACATGGTGGGGCTGAGGTGGGTAGACACTATAATTCCTTCCGTGCCCTCCACCCCCTCTATTTCGAATTCCTGAATCCGCCACAGCCCCCATCTGTTACAGTCCATGACTCCACTATTTTGAATTCCTGGATCCGCCACTGATTACAAGTCGCAAATGTGCAAGCGCTTTACGAAGATTACACATCTACCTATGTACGTCTCTGACGCGAACGCCCTGGAGCGCTCACGTTAATATAATGCACATTCATTATGACACAAAAATCGAAATCGGTAGATTGGTAGACGTATTCGTTTCAAAACAACAAAGGGATTATTTGCTTTCCCTACCACTTTCCCAATCAGATTAATATATGGGCTTATTTTATTCTCGATTTTGTATTTTCGACGTCTACCCATCACATCCACGACGTTTGTAATTTTGTTCATATTCGCAATTTCCATTAATTCCATTTATTTATCATATAGGCCTAACATTTACATTTATGGTAAAAATTTAGTATTTTCAATACCCAATGATATTATGATCTGTTTACATTGTGCCCTTTATTTACATTGTGCTGTAATTTTACGTAGCATTTACAAGTTTTAATAGTATGCAGTGAAAATCCGAAACACCGCGTGGTTTTATTTACGATTCTTTAAATTTAATCCTATTAATAAACATTAACCCGTAGTTACATGTTCACAATGTGTTTAATTAGATTGATTTATTTGGTATAGGCCTAGATCATTTTCTTTAACATGTCAAAGTTGGCTATATTCATATTTAGGCCTATCAAAGTTTTGATAGCTGTAAACTTAACAAGCTTTAATTTTTTTTATTTTAAGTTATTTTAAAGTCGTTTTTTACACAATGTTTTTCTTATACTGTCAATATTTCTTTGTTTTTATGTTTGTTAAACAGTGTTATAGCCTATTGTCTGTTTTGTCATCTTTGTGAACGCACCTCATCGTGTGCCACTGTTTTAAAAGTGAAGATTCAATTAAAGATTATTATTATTATTATTATTGGAAAATATAATGTTTGCTCTCAAAACCAGTGACAGATTCAGGGGGTGGCGCCGGCCCGGACCCTCCCTCTAAATGGAAAAAAGAAAATAATATTCAAATTTTAAGTCTTAGAGTGGATATTTCCGGTCATTTGGGGTGCTATTATTAAAATGGTGGGGCTGAGGTAGTATCGACCCTCCATCACTGAAGATCACTCTGCCCCCATCCCCTCATTTCCTGGACCACTGAAAAAACGTCCACTACTGTTCATTTTGCAATCTTCAAAATAAGACCTCAAAATAGCAAACGTCTGAGCGCGAGGAGGTCCGCTCACTGCACGCCAGAAGGGCTCTGTCCCTATGCTCCCCACCCCCTGTCTCTTATACACATCTATGTAGTTGACTGTCCGAGGGGAATGTTCGGTGAGATGGTTGATAATGTGGCTGTGTGTGTAGAATGCCCTACAGGGACTTATCAGAACTCTACAGCAAGTGACTCATGTGTAACATGCCCCAACGGCCTGAGTACCATCAATACAGGTGCATTGGCGGAAGAAGAATGCATTAAAATTGGTAATTTATAGCAAATTAATTGGTTGTTTAATAGCATCTAAGCATGGACTGTGCTGCACTATTCCCACTGTCTCTTATACACATCTAGATGTGTATAAGAGACAGCTACTACTATTACCACCACTACCTTACCTTAGTACTACATACTATTATTACTGCTGCTAGTCCACTGCTGCCACTAATGACACGGTGGTTATGATGATGGTGGTAGTATGATAATGATGTTCATGATATGATAACAATGATAGGATAATATGTCTATAAATGAATGAAGTATCATGTTCTTAAGAATTAATGCTTCTGTCCACTTAGCGACAAACTTGAGTTTGTAAGATCCTGGGGACGTTTTACTTTAATATAACCAAATGTATCTAGAAACTTGCCACAATTTTCCATATCTTGAATTTGCTTTGCAAGCATATACGTCATATCTCGACGCCAATTCTCTGCGTTTAACATTGAGTTTCGAGAGACCGAGTACTCGTCACCCCTTGATTCCTTTGTATGTTCATTTAACCAGTTTACAACGTGTTCTGAAACCTCACCTAAACCAAGTCTGTCGTATATTTCTCTTGTTGTCATCAATGGCATCATTGATATATCTTCGTACCTTACTGCCATGTATTTTGATACCATCTGTTGCCCAATACTTGCATCTTTTATCCAAGCTTTACACCAATCATCTAAACCAGAATACCAGTCAGAAGGTAAATCCTGAACATCAAAGACAGATCTGTCTTCTGCTTTCATCTTTTTAATGACATCGGGAGCCCAAGCCTTTAGTTTTGACAAAGTCATTCCTCTTGGATCACGAATGAGATGCAATATTTTAAAATCTATTTCGCTATCGTTAAACAATTGTGACAGATTCAATATGTCAAAAATTCGAATAGATTTGATTACAATGAACTCTTTATTTTCACATTGTTCGTGTAGGCCTGTTAGTTTAGTCTCAATCGTATTGTACAATTTGGGTGATATACCTGATGGGTCTTTGTCGTTATCGCATGGATGACCCAAAAGCGATTGGATATCACATAATTGTTGACGGTAATTTACACGCTGCCTCATGGAGTTTAGATAGGGTTCCATATTTTCGAATCGACAATGATACAAGGAATTGATTATGTGTCCATATCGCTGAAGCTGTTTTGTGCTCTTTGTAATTGCTGATTCATTACTAGGCCTATACAAATCGATCAGACGTCCTGGTTCATACAGATAAAACACTCGTTCACTATTCGCTAAAATTTTCCCTAGAAATGATGAACCTGATCTTCCAGTGGCCAGTATATGGATCCCTTTGTAAACCTTTGAGTTCATCTGCTTTTCAGTGCTGGAATTGGCGTCAAGAGTGACAGGACGGAAGTCAGATTTCCTGGGTGTTGACAGAATATATTCACCAGTATTATTAATTTCATATTTTTTGTTGACTAATGTACGCATGCGAGCAATTTTATGAGGAGGTTGAGGAAAGCGGTCGACGATACTGTTTGCAGAAAAACTGTTTTGATATAGCGTATTCGTTAATAATATTGTGCCTATGCCAGCAATAATGATGACAGCAAAAGATGTTGCGTATTTCATACCTTTCGTATTATACGCCAGCTTATGCAATCTTAGTAATCCCACAAATTATATCAACGGCGGTTGATCTCATCAGAACTCTTTGGGTGGAATAATAATGCAAAACAGCATTTGGATGAGAAAATTCCTTGTACTAAATAGAAACCTCTTAGACCCACTGTGCTAAAAATTCGTAGGCCTATAAATTGATCACTGAAGAATATTCCTGTGCCAATTACTCCCTGGTTTGAATTTAAATAATTCAGGCTGTAGTGTCCTCACGACAAAATGATAATCAACACAAGGTTTCGAGCATTTTAACAAAACGTGTTCAGTATTTCTACTTAAGAGGTGCAGATTAGTAATTGAAGTTGATTGTTCCTTTTAATATTTACTTTACAATTTCCGTCTCAGACTTTGTAAGTTCCACCATCTGTTGGTTTCAAGGTGCAAGCGCTATATTATATTTACAGTCAGCCAAGTTCATTAAAAACATTCACATTTTTAAAATACTTCTTGCCGGGTTTTATAATAGAGTGGTTTTTATTCAGCAGTTCAGACTGCAATATTTTAGCCTGCCTCTTGCTTCGGTAGTTGTGATAATGCACATTCGTGTATAGGCAAAAGGCTACAAGTAGTGAGCTTGCTCGATATCCAAATTTTAGATCGATTATTGGCAAAAACATTATACAGTAAGTTATGCATCAACGCACAATGAAAGGATGGACGCAAACCAGCGTAAGCATTGTTTAGTTATTATACCGTATATTGATTTTAACAAATCAAATTTGGGTAGGCCTATTTTTGCTTTTCTTTGAAATAAATCCATCCTATTAAAGCGATATTTTAATAACAATGTCATAATTAATTACGCTTAATTCGAAGCTGTGGGCCTAGTCCTCAATAAACGTCTGGGAAAAAACTGTAACAACATAGTCATAGATCATCAAAGTCTCCGTCTAAACTTATTAGTCAATATCATTCCATATTTTAGATTGAGGGAATAATGACTTTTACCGTCGTTTTTCACCAAAGGGGTAGCT